TCTTTCCCTCACTGCTCAGAAAAAGTAATCACAACTTGATTTCCAAAGAAAACTGCCTGTAGGAGATAATTCTATATAATTACAGAGACTATTCCTGTCTTTACTAACTACATTTTATAACTCTGTCACCTGTTTTTAGTTCATTATATATTCCACCTGCCCCCTGGACAACTTCTTACACTTCTCAAGGATACAAAACAAAAAAAACCAACAAACAAACTTCAAAACAAGAGATTCTTATTTTACAGGTGCCAAAAAAAAGACCAAAAGGCATGAAGTTATCAGTTTTATTATTGGATATTGTGATTAGCAACACAATAGATATTACTAGAAAAGTATGCATAGTTTGAATACAAAACATCTTTAGAAACAAACCCATAAACACAACTGCAAATAAGACCACTGAACACTGCACTTTTTGTATCAACTGCTTTTCTTATTACTGTTTTCTTCTACTGATACTTATGCTTTTATTGTTTTCCAGTGTCTGTGTTTAAGATACTAAGCAAGTACTAGAATATTAACAAAATATTAAATTAAGAAAATATGGCAGTCTCATAGTGTTCTAGGAATTTAGAGAACTAATGAACAACTGTAGAGCTTAAGAAAACCCTTACACTATAAGGGAAGCACTGCATCACACTGCACTTCAAATTATACCACATGTAACAAGGACACCCCCTGAAAGAGTTGCAAATCAGAACTGATAAAGGCAGAAAAAAATCCTCATAGAAGTTATTACCCATTCCTTACAGAGAATGAAGAAATAAAGAAACTTACCACTTTTAGTAGTGAAAGAATAGAGAGGATTCAGTGGAGTGCTCTGAGTGCCTGGCAGTCTTAGCCTGGAGTGTGGTGACAGCAATGGAGGTGCAGGAAGCAAGAGATTTGAGCTCGCCTGTAATAGGAAAGACAAATCAGAAAGCGAAGTGTAATTTCCTGGGTTACTTACTGATGCAACAGCTAGAAGAGAAATATTTGCTTACTCTAAATAACAACTGAATTCCAGGAAAAAAATTAAGATTCATGTCGATGATAAATCACAACTTCAATGGATGGGTATTTTGGTTGGTTATTGTTTTTTCTAGTATTTGGTGACACAGACTTGGGAAAATTATTAACACAGCTATAAAGTGAATTGCATGTTTACATGCTGACACAAAATCTCAAGCAGTGCAAACAATGGAACAGAAATGTTTGAACTGACATCTCATTGCATCTTCATGTATAAAAATAAAAATACATTTATATATGGTTATAAACTGATAAATGTAAAATAAAGTGTCACTTTTGAGTACTCAAGCTACACTGCATCTATGAAGAAATTGCTCAATATTAGAATGAGAGAAAAAAAATCCAAAAAGAAGAAAAAAACCCCTGATTTCTACACATCATTAAAACATACACAAAAACACCAGACACTTCCCTTCTGTAAGCTACACAGAAAATATCTGCAGTCCTAATTTCCACAGTCACAAAGATAATGTAGTTAAAATATGGCTTGCTGTGGAGGTACTTGATACACATGCAGTTATCACAAAGCAAAACCTCACCCAAACTTTACTCTTGAGATACTATGCAATATAGCCTAGGTATAAAATATGTTATGACAAATCTTAGTTTTTTGACAGGATCCAGTTGAGAACTTTACTGTTTGTAAAACATATTTTCACTGGATGCTTTGATAGTACAGCTGAAGGGGAAGGAAAGAGGGCCCTAAATAAAATACTTACAGCTTTCTTCAAAGAAAATTGATTAATATTCTAACATTTTTGAAAGTTATTTACATAATATGTTATAATTTTTATCCATTTCAAAAGTCAAGCTTATTTCACAATCTAGAGTAAATGCACATGGTTACTTAAACCAACTAAAAGCCCACACACACTGGAGCACTTCTTTGGCCTCAGTAAACTCTGGATCAGAACCTTAAACTTCAGCTGTTGACCAAAACCAGAACAATGACATTTTGCAAATTTTCAGTCTACTGGTTTCTAAATTCTGTCTGAAGAGACACCTAAACCAAAGTGAATCAGTGGCTTATTTCCATGAATGATATAATTTATATAATTCCTATTTCTGTAACTTAATATTAAAAAATTCAAAAGGTTCCAGTAATGCAGAATACGCAGGCACTGGGAAGTATACCTGGGATGCAGGTCATACAGCACCAAAAACCTGTTGATTAACTTGACCGTGGGCAGAGAGGATATTGGCTATCATCTCCTCTGTATGACTATATAAGATCTTCATTTTAATGTATCTGTTTTTTGTATAGCAATGTGGATTTAATTCTACTGAAAGAAGTTTATTATAAAAACTGTATTTAACTAATCACGTCCTTTGTCAGCAACTGCACACAGTTGCAATGACTATATTCCAAAGCCAACCAGAATTGAAAGCAAGACATAAGATCAGATCAACCATGCAACATGATTAAAAAGCTATGTTTTACTGCAGCCTGCAAATTAAACAGAATCTTAGTAAATGCTAGTTGTGAAATGTAAGCAGAATTAAGAGGAATGTTATTCTGCACAACAAAATCAATCTGTTGTTCTTACACTTAAATATGTTTATCTGATACGCACAAATACTGTGGAAAGCCATTAGGACAGAAAAAAAAAATAAATCTGTTCTGCAAACATGTCAAGATCAGCTTTCCAGTGTTTCATCCGCTTTTATGCACTGTTATGTCTAGTAAGAGCTTTTCTGCAGTAAGATAAACGAGATCTCCCCCTGCACAAAATTCTCACTGAGTGCACACTACACCATCAGTGATACAAATGTGTGTTTCCTAGTCAAGTATTCTCATGGAACTTTTTTGAATTCTCTTTCAAATTAGCTATCAAAAAAGCTGGTTTCAGATACTACCAGGGAATGAAGACAGATTGCAAATCAAACTAAACACAGCAGAGAGAACTACTCAAAACTAGCACTTAACAGACAATTCCCTGGTTCATCCTGGAGGGGAAAAAATACCAGGAGAAACTTGTCTTGATTGTGGTGCTTGATTAAATTATAGAAAAGGTATGGAACTCTGTGTGTTAATTGTTTCTGTACAGTATTTATTTCCCTACTTTATTTTTTTGTTGTATTCGTCAAATACTCTCACTATACATGCCAAAAAGCATGCTTTGAAATCAAATGCAATTGATACGTAAATTAGAAGAGTGAATGTATAATACTGAAGATTTAAGAATATTGGCTTTTTGAAAAACCAAAATAAGTTATATCTTACAACTCCTTCCTTTCTCTCCAAGTTCTTTTTAAAAAAATAAAATACATCGGTATAAAAGAGATATTAAAAATATTTAAATTTATGCAGCATTACAGGAGTGATTCATTCCTCCCCTTAATGACAGAGAAGCTCAGTGCGACTGAGCCATGAAAGACAGCACATCCAAAGTGCTCCCAAAATCAGAGTGTTTATGACCATTCTGCAACTATTTCTGAAGTATTACTTAAATCTTTAAAAGGCTCAAAGAGAAAATAACCCACAACTTTATCACAGAAGAAGGAACAACATGTCTAATATATAAGAACTACTGATCCAACAGAACTGTTTTCAGGTTAAGTACACTGCCCTATGAAGAGTAATTAATTCCCCTACAACAGACAGAACTAGGACTACCTACAGAACAGGGTGAAGCAATTTTTTTGAAATGCATGCTGTGGGGAGGCATTGCTAAATATCTTTACAACAATGAGCAAAGTTGGCTAAGATAGCCAACCATCAATCTACTTATTTTTCACAACAGGCTCCGCTTGCTTCATGCACAAACCACAGCTTTATCAGAGACGCAGTTTACTACTAGCTGAATTGAGTAAAACTAAGAGGTATAGCATTCATGTAGTTTTTGTAGTTAAAAAGGATACTTATAACTTTTGCCAAGTTTAAACAAAGCTGATTTGCATTTTCTTTTTTTGTGTTAGGGCAGTTCTATGCAAATTATGCAAATAAACATTTTCAGTGGAACTAGTTTTCACAGTAAAAGTGAATTGCATGAGACAAAAACCAGAATACTGCCAGACTTGACAAGATGACGATAACAACTTCTGTTTTTTCCCCAGGAATGCACTTTTATGACCACTGCAACCAATATAAATGACATTTCCATATATACTTGCAAGTTAAATCAAGTTGGCCAGCTCTCTACTACCACTTACTCTTTTAGTTTTAGGCTTCCCTTTTGAAACTTCAAAACCAGTATCCTAGAGGCTTAAAAACAGTGTAAAAGTGTTATTAGACCATGATTAAAAAAAAAATTAAAAATTAAAAGTTGACAATTGAATTTGACAAAAAAATAAAATACAAATTCTATATTTTTCTTACTGCTGGAAGAAAATACATAGGTACTGATACGTGAAGTAGGAGTATGGTACTACTACAGCTTATAAATTTGCAATGTAAGTTTGAATCAAGCTGACACTTATATTAAAATGCAATCACTTCTATGACAGTACCATTAGAAGGCTTCCAGCAAAAGCTGGGATTCTACTGTGGTTGGTGCATTGTGGGCATTTAGAGACTAATATAGCCAGTTCTTGAGGAACTGCTAGTTTAAATGGGAAAATCAAGGACAGGTAAAAAAAAAGGTATCATCCAGGTAGAGACAGGCAAAAGTGAAACATACTGACTTCAATGCCAGTGTGTTCCGCTGATGCTCCCTAAAATCCTCTTACCGTGATTATCCAGTTCATGAGCTCATCTAAAGGGCAATATAGTTCCCTCATAAATTGGGTGCTCCATTATTTTTCCACAGAAGCCCAGAAGCAACCAGGGCATACATATGAAAATTGAAGCTAGAGGGAGCCTGATCCAACAGTTTAGATACAGCTATTGTCTATAGATTATTTACATCAACACACAGTAATTCTATATATTCAGTTTCTTAGTTCTGCCAGAGAGTTCCATCACTTCAATTATAGGCTTACCACAAAAGCTATCCTCCTCCTTTTTTTTTTCTTTAACTTTTTCTTGTAGTTGTTTTTAAGAAGAAATTAAGATTACTATAAACATTTGGAGTAGCAAGCTTCTTTCCTTTAGCCACAAGGAAAACCAAATTATTTGTACAAACACAAAACAGCTAAACACAGGCTCAGTTATATACAAGTTGTATAGACCCACTCAGCCATTACACACAGACTATGAGCTTTCCTGGAATGGATAAAACTGGCATTTCAGTTTAAGAACACACCTGAATATACACATTCTACTAGAATTGGCCAATGACAAAATCAGCAACAGTAAAAAGTAGATTTGTGACCCCTAGGGATTGGAAGAGACCTCGAAAGATCATCTAGTCCAACCCCCCTGCCAGAGCAGGGGCACCTGGAGCACATCACACAGGAACACGTCCAGGCAGGTTTTGAATGTCTCCAGCGAAGGAGACTCCACAACCTCTCTGGGCAGCCTGTTCCAGGGCTCTGTCACTCTCACAGGAAAGAAGGTTTTTTCTGATGTTTACATGGAACCTCCTGTGTTCCAGTTTGCACCCATTGCCCTTGGTCCTATCATTGGGCATCACTGAAAAAAGCCTGGCTCCATCCTCCTGACACTTGCCCTTAACATATTTGTAAACATTGATGAGGTCACCCCTCAGTCTCCTCTTCTACAGGCTAAAGAGACCCAGTTCCCTCAGCCTTTCCTCATAAGGGAGATGTTCCACTCCCTGCATCACCTTTGTGGCTCTGCGCTAGACTCTTTCAAGCAGTTCCCTGTCCTTGAACTGAGGGGCCCAGAACTGGACACAATATTCCAGATGTAGCCTCACCAAGGCAGAATAGAGGGGGAGGAGAACCTCTCTTGACCTACTGACCACACCCTTTCTAATGCACCCCCGGATGCCATTGGTCTTCTTGGCTACAAGGGCACATCGCTGGCTCATGGTCATCCTC